AAAATTAATAATTGTTCGGAGATTATAAAAAAATTTTTTTTTGATTAAATATAATATATCGCTTTCGAAGAAGGGTTATTATATTATAATGACAGAATTATTATTCTCGGTAAATAAAAGTGAGTAGATTTTCATTTATCAAGGACATCCGGAATAGTGGGAATAATGTAATTATGAAGATATTACGTTTTTTAGGTAAATCTTAATTGTGTGTTGAAGATTTCGTTTGCTGCAAGAGTTATCAATACTGGAAGCTAGAGAAGGGCCATTATACAATTGAAACATTCCAACCCGAACTTGGGAATGTATCCACATTGATTTGACAGGTTCCTTATCTGGAAAGTAAGTTAATTTGTATGAAATACGATTTAGTTTGAATCCTATAAGTGACACCTCTCTCAATGTAATACACCCCGTCACCTTCCCAGCTCATTTCAAAAGTCAAATACTCATAGTCCCACACATTTAATATCTCGCTACGATCAATAGGTTCTATCAACACGTCGTACGTTTCGGCTGCAAACAAATACAGCTTGTCTACCACTACTGGAACTAATAGGAAGCCCATCGTCCTGAAATATTTGGAGGTAATGAATACGTATAGGGAAAGAGATAGAACAAAAAGGAACCCGTTATTCACCAATATCAAATACACAGATGTTAATTTAAATTTAAATGGCTAAGAAAGAGAGGTTCTCTCATAGGCTTTATTCATATAGTAAATCGTAATAAGCTCAAATCATATTCAATTTATTTGACAGAATTATTTCGACTCTTCTTTTTCCTTCCTACCACATTAATTTTTAAATGATTATTTTTTGTTATTTTTTTTTTAAATTTTATGAACGAAGATTTAAAATTTCCTATTTAAATCCAAAGTAAAAATAAATAAATTAAAAAAATATATAAATATAGTAATTGAAAAAATGACTAAAATTGTTAGAGGAGGCATATCCTCCTAGAGGGGTAAGAAAACAGCTGCCTAGAGTTTAAACGACCAATTCTGAATGAAGGACACTTTATTCAAATTTTGTTGTTGTCGGACGTGATTAAGAGCCGAGTTGTTGCGCTTTGCCCAAATTACGAAAGATCCAGCCACACCTGAAAAAAGGATTTATTTACTATATTTATATATTTTTCTAATTTTATTTTTTTTAATTTTTTTAATTTTTGATTTAAATAAGAAGTCATTTTAAATTTTCGTTCGTAAAATATGAAACTTGAGAAGAATAATAATTTAAAAATTATTATGATAGGAAGAAATAAAAGGAATCGTAATAATTCTGTCAAATATTGTTAATTGAATATGGTTTGAGCTTATTGAGAATATCTACTATATGAATCAAGCCTATGAGATTAGAACATCTCTTTCTTTGCCATTTTAAAATTCATTACTCAAAATCTGTGTATTTGAGATTGGTGAGTTAGGGATTCATTTTTTGTCCTCCTACCTATCTCACAATCTTAATCATAAACTTATAACAATTCAAGCCGTTGGGCTTCCTATCAGTCCAGTAGTAGTCGACAAGTTGTATTTGTTTGCAGCCAAAACCTACGACGTGTTGATAGAACCTATAGATCTTAGCAAGATATTAGATGTGTGGGACTATAAGTACTTGGCTTTTGAAATGAGCGGGGAAGGTGACGATGTGTGTTATATTGAGAGAGGTATCACTTATAGAGCTTAAGCTAAATCATATTTGGTATATACTCTATCACAGAAGGGGATTCTTTCGGAACTGATGACTAGCATCAAAAAGGCCGTTAAGGCTCTTAATGATGGTTTTACATCTTTGGAAGATAATACTTCTATAAATAAATAATATTCTTTTGATTCATGAAAAATTTTAAAAAATAATCTATAATATATTAATAATAGTTCTTTATAAATATCCATTTTGGTGTGATTTATTATCAACTATTAAGCACGTATATAAAAGGTTTTACGAGACCAATTGCAACATGTCGGTAAAAAAAACATTTATTTTATATATGTTAGAATAGAAAGGAAGAAGAATACGAAGAAAGTAAGTCTTTATTTTAAGGAATAATATGAATAATAAAAAATCTTAAGCCCTTTTGTAATCAATCATTAATATTGATATAGTTAATTATGTTATAATTGAGATATAATGATAGCCGCTAGATTGTATCTATACATTATATATATTTTTTTTAAATAACTAACTAATTTCAGGTATACAACCAGCTCACCTTGATTTTTCTACGTATCATGCATACATCAAAGGTAACGATTTGATATCTTTGTCCCCTTATTACCAAATATTCACTGAATCGGTGGACAAGAAATCATATTTTTTCGTTTTTAGCTTTGCCGAAAATAGTAAACCTTATATTATCTTCATTAAAACAATATAAATCATATGGTATACTTTGAATCCAATTTGAAAATTATACATTTCAAAAATAGAGTTCTTTTTAAAAGCTATTATCAGTAAAAGTGCAAAAAAATATATGAATATTCCTTTCTACCTTAGTCTAATAAAATCATTGTGATACTTGCCGAATCTAAGGATGAAATGAAAGAAAGATTAGTGAGTTGAATAAATATCCTAGAAACGCACAGATTCAAAGTAAATAGAGAAAAGACGGAGTATATGGTGGTAGGAGGAGATGAAACAGAGAGTATTGATATAAATGAAGGCAGATATCGGCAATTGAAAGCTGCAAATATTTGGGCTCCACTATACAAACAAACGGCACAATAGAAAAAGAGATAAAGAGTAAGATTAATTAAGGGTGGTTAGTGAAGATCTTTATCTGGAGTGCTATTTGACAAAAGAATCTCACACAAATTAAAGGGAAAAATTTACAGTTCCATAGTACAACCAACTATTATATAGTTCTGAAACATGGCCAACCAAAGAATGAGAAGTCTACAAATGTAGATGAGAATGCTGAGGATGATTGCTGGGGTAACAAGAAAGGATAAAGTGCACAGTACAAGAATACTAACTAGTTAAAAGTGCCCATTAAGACTAAGTTAATGGTAAACAGAATTAGGTGGTATGGGCAAACAATGAGAAGGCCTATGAACTACATAGGAAATAAAGTTGAGAGTTTGGAAATGATGGGCAAACGTAAAAGAGGAAGGCCAAAACTTCAATGGGGCCATAAAGTTATAGACAATATAAAGAAGTATAAATTAGTTAAAGAGATTGTATGAATAACATAAAGTGGAGAGAGATGTTCAAGGAGCTTACCACCAGAAAAGGTGAAAGCTAAAGAGAATAAAAAAATATATATATCTTTATTAAATTAAAATAGTTATTCAATAAATTTAAAGACAGATATTATTTATCCCAGAATATTTTAGGGCAATTAAAAATCTTGAAATATATTTTACTTTACATTATTGAAATATTATATAACAATTTCATATTTATAAATGAAAACCTTGCAAATATTATTTCGGTTATAAGGTGTCATTAAAATTATAGCAACAACAATAGATTTTTTATATTTATCCCATATTTTCCATTTATGCATCTCTTAATACAATAGTGAAAAACTGTATTATATATTTAATATATTCATTATTTACATTTTTTTATGTAACAATTTTATAATAAAAAGATATAAATTTATGTGGTGAATAGTATTTTATTAAAAGTAATAAATTTAAGAATTAATATTTTTCTCTTAGATAAATTTACCATCTAAAAATTCAATTTGTTTACCCTGCTTTTATAGGCTATTTAAAAATAATATGGTGCTATAAGTACTTTATATGATTTTTATATAGTAAATAATATTAGTTTTAAAGTAAAATTGGTCCCTTTTCTGGATAAAGGCACAAATTATTTATTTAAATATTTTGTAATATAAAACAGCTGTATAATAAAAATTGTTAGTTTGAAAGAAAATAATTTGGCGAAACCAGAAAAACGCGAAAAGATTTGTTTGAAAGTAACCTAATACTATTCAAAATAATAGTATAATGCAATTTTAAAAAATAATAAAGCATAATCTGGTTTTTTAGAAAATTAAGATAACTACAGCCTATATTTGTAAATCATTTAAGGATATGAATTATATACTTCTATTTAATATATTTAAAATTTTATAATATTTTAAGTCACAATTTTATAGAGCGACATATAAGGTTTTTTTTAAAAAAATATAAAATTAATAAATCATATATTCTACAAAAAAAAACAAGATAAATAATTAAATATCATATACTAAATTGTCATAATATATTTTTCAAAGGACAATTTTATAGTGAAATTTGAAAACATATTTAATTTTAAATTTGTACCTTTAAAAAAACGTTTATTTTATTATCAAGCTAAATTGATACGACTGTTGTCTTTGTGACCAACCATAGCGTCTCTGTGAATATTTTGAGGACCCCCCCCCCCCCCAAAAAAATTTTTTAAAATATTTTTATTTACACAAAAATGTCATTTGTAAAATGTTTGTTAAAAAAAAGAGAAGGTCATTTTGAAAATATTAGCCAAAAAAGAAGGTCTTTGTAAGCCAAAATGAAGGTCATTTTTTAAAAATAGGGTCATTTTGAAAATATTTTGAAATTGTTAGCTAAAACAAAAGGTCATTTTAAAAAATGTTGCTAAAAAAATGAAGAGATTTTTAAGGCTAATGATGCTTTTGGTGATTAAGGTTTAGAATTTACTATTATTACTATCTTTTATTATGAAGAATATTCAAGACTTCATTGCTTTCGAAAGCGATTAATATTAAGATTATCATCGTTTTATCCTTAATTTTCAAGGATGTTAATAATTGAATTTGACTTTAATTTATTCGGTTTTTATTAACTATTATATCAAAACAAAGGTACTTTATTTCAATGTCTTCTAATATATTTATCATCATCACTTTTTTTTTAAAAAAAAGGCCTATAAATATTGTTTAATTTAGGCGACTTTCAGAAAATAAAAATAAAAATTTTATTTGTAAAATGTTTAAGATTTTAATTTGGTTAAATAATTTATAAATCTGTCTCAAAAATGCATTTCTTGTATCGTCCATTAAGTATTTATATCATGATTCTTTCTGCCCAAAGTATAAAATATATTTAGTTAACATAAATCTATCTATATGCCTAATATTAATTCATTTATTCGTTTTGATTCTTAATAGATTTAATTTAGTAAAACTTCCAGTTCCCAAATTATCAAAAGAGCAGTATTCATAATACCACTAATTGCTTCCTGATAATTTGTGCTTTTTCCACTCTACATCTAATTCCACTTAATTCTTGCCCAAATGTTTACCTATCTTGTCAATTTGTATATTCCTTTTTTTTTAAACAGTCCATATATTTATTTTTTTATAAAAATAGTGCTTAAAACTAACCGATTTTATTTCTAGTGAATACCTTGGGCTGCATAAACGTGTTGTACAAAGGCTCAGTAATTGACATATTATTAAAACCCCAACACCCTTGCGATAGGCCATGCGATGATGAACCTATGGAATGTCATTACGATTTTCAAGTTTGATATTTTTGATTATTTTTTTCGATTTGTCTGTCTTTTTTTTTCAAATATAATTATTATCTTTATATAAAAAAATAGGTAACATTCTCGAGATCCATGTTAAAACCTCAATGCGGAAATTGTCCGGAAATACTTGGTGACTGCTATTTGCCGGGGTGCATCCCGGTAGATGGGAATTCCAGATCTATTTTCTTAGTGAATGAAATGTTGCCAGGGCCAGATATTCGAGTACAAAATTATATAAATTTATATATATTTTATAACAAAGATAATTCACGATAATCGCATCTTTTGCCTTATTTATTCCTATTTTGGATTCTATACTCATATCTAATTATTTTATATTTTAATTTTATTTTTTTTAAGTAAAATTGTGAGAAATTTTAACCATATATAGATCCTATAAGTAAAAAAATATTTTATCATCTTAAAATACTATCAGGGGAATGTTAATAAAGAAACTTAAAATAGATTTAGACCTTCCTAAACATCATAATAAATTTTCTCTCAATGTCACTGTACATTAAGACCTTAGCTAAGGTTTGAGTTAGAAATAATTATCTTCTTTAGCATATCAGTATTTAATAACTAAGGATTAAATCTCTGGTTTTATTTTTTCTTATTTTTTTCTATATGAAACGATTTATATTAAAATTAATAAAGAAAAAATATTATTCTTTGTGTTCGGGGTATTTAGGAAAATGATTTAAGATTTAAAATAATAAAGGAAGAAAAAATAAAGAAAGAAGGAGGGAAAGAAAGTAAGAAAAATAGAAAGAAGAAGAAAAAAAAATGAATATTAGCTTATGGTTACCTTCTGCACAAATATTTTCAGAAAAACATTTTCGAGCTATATAGACTAGATAAGATATAAAATAAAAATTTATCGTTTTAATCCCCCCCCCCATCACTTTTTTGTTTAAAGTTATATAATGTATTATATCAAAGTTTCTTTAATTTGAACACGTCATGAAGGTATGCGAGAACGACATAGTGATAGTAAACGTGACCAACAACCTATTGAGCGGGGAATCTTTAGCCATTCATTGGCATGGTTTACACCACAAAAAAACGCCTTTCATGGATGGTGTGCCATTTATTACCCAGTGCTTAATAAATCACGGAACAACTTTCCGTTACAAATTCATAGCTCATCCGCCCGGCACTAGATTCTGGCATGCCCATGTGTCTTTTTTGAGAGATAACGGTATTTTTTTTAAAAATAGATAAAAGGAAAGAAAATGTCATACTACTTATAGGATATGGCTATAAATTATGTGATAAGGGAGAAATTTCAACTCTCTTTTATTAAGGTTGTAATGGCGATTGATAGGATAAGAGCAATTAGGTTAAATTATGAAGAAATAGGATTCTATGAAAGGAAAAAAAAGAAAACTTTTGATAAAATAATCGTCATACGGATTATCAGAGAAAATGATTGGGAAAATATCACGAAAGATCTGGGATATATATAGAAAAAAATAGGATATGTTAATCATCGTTCCGGTATTTAGATTGGTGATAAAGATGAATACTTTATTATAAATTGAGTTTGGGGAAAGGGGGGAGGGTAATATACGACCTCAGAACAGATTTTAAGCCTAAGAAAGAGGAGCTCAATTCTCAGAGGCTTGATCCATATAGTTGCTAATATTAATAAGCTCACATCGTATTCAAGTAACAATATTTGACAGAATTATTTCGATTTTTTTTTATTTAATATTTTTCGTAATTTTTCAATTTTGTGAAAGAAGATTTAAAATGACTTACTAAAATCCAAAATTAAATTTAAATTTAAATTTTAAAAATATATAAATATATTATTGTTTCCTTTCTTTTAAAGGTGTGGCTGGATCTTTTGTAATTCGCACAAAGCATTACAGCTCGGATCCTAATCATGTCCCACACCAACACGATTTGAACAAGGTGGCCTTCATACAGGATTGGTCTCCGAGATTCAGGGCAGCGCTTTTCTTACCTGACACAGAGGGCACACCTCCTCAAAGTATCCTAGTCAATGGTAGAAGCGGAGATTTTGATCATTCTCCACCTGCTTACTTCTTATATAAACCGGTTGGTCAAAAACTGTATTTGAGATTGGTGAGCAACGGATTCCTTTTTTGTCCCATCTCTCTCAGTATCCGTAATCATAAACTAAAAGTAGTTCAAGCCGATGGATTTCCTATCAGTTCAGTAGTGGTCGACAAGCTGTATTTATTTGCAGCCGAAACGTATGACGTATTGATAGAACCTATTGATCGTAGCGAGATATCAAATGTTTGGGACTATGAGTACCTGGCTTTTGAAATGAACTGGGAAGGTGATGGAGAGTGTTATATCGAAAAAGGTGCCACTTATAGGGCTAGAGCAAAATCGTACCTTGTATATACTCTATCACAGAAGGTGATCCTCTCGGGGCTGATGAATTGCATCAAAGAGGCGGCCGTTAAGGCTCTAGATGATGGTTTCACATCTTATCTCGCTGATTTATGGAAAGTTTTTAAAAAAATACTATAATATATAGATGATAGTTATTTAAAAATATCTACCATTTTGGTATTACCAAGTACATATATAAAAAATTTCACCAGTTACCAATTGCAACATGACGATAACATTTATTTTATATATGTTAGAATCGAAAGGAAGAAGAATACAAAAAGATTTTAAGGAATAAAATGAATTTTTAAAAAAAATATCAAGCCCTTTTGTAATCAATCATTAATTTTGATAGAACTAGTAGTGTTATGATTGAATTATAATGATAGCCTGCAACTTTGTCATACTAATTTATATTTCTATATTTTTTTTAAAATAAATAACTAATTTCAGGTATACAACCCAGCTCATCTTCTTGATTTTTCTACGAATCCTGCTTACATCAAAACTAGCGATTTGAGATCTTTGTCCTTATCCGACCAAGAATCTATTGAATCGGTGGACTCGAAATTCTATTTTTTCGCTGATAGCTTTGTCGGCAATGGTAAACTATATATTATCCTTATTAAAGCAATATAAATCACATGGCATATTTTAAACGCGATTAATCGCTAAATTGTAAATTTTTTTATCCATTATCATGAGTTATAAATCTGAAAATCTAAAAATTTTTACAAAATTGATAACCCTTTTATTCCATTTCCTAAACATTTACATTTTACAAAATGGATATTGATGGGTCAATATATAGCAAAGAATTAAACATCAGATAAATTTTTATTAAAATAAATCCGTCCACCCATTTTATTATGAACGGACCGTACCCTAAGGCTACATTTATAGTGGGATTTGATCCAGCAACATTTAACAGCTGATCGATTTTTTATTTATTTGAGATCATTTTTTATTATTAAAAATGGAATTCAACATAACATTAATATTAATAAAAAGAAAAATTGATGTTATAACCTGATTTTAAAAATCTAATGGGTGTTAAATTGCGCCGTAATAAATTTCACTATGAATTGAGCCCTTTAAATAATAAAATTATTTTCGGTCTTAAATTTTTATCATATTTTTATACGTTGCTAAGCCCAACCTAAACATTTTATTCATTGTTAAGCCTGATTCTGGCCCAATATAGTCCTTATCCTTTTTTTGATTCATTTTATATTTTAGTCATCAGGAGGTATCAACGTTATTGGCTTAGGGGAGAGGGCTCTGGATAAGGATTGATCTGAATCAAAATAATTTATTGCGTATCATTCAGATAAATATAATTGATATTCCGAAATAGTGTTTATAGATATAAAGGGATAAATCATGACGCTATTAAATATTTTATAAAAAATGTATTATCCTAATGCGTCATTAAACCAGCGTTCTTTATTATTTTTTTTATATCTATCTAGAGCTTAACTTACTAACATGCCAAAAAAAATTTATTATTTGAAATTTTTCGGTCTTCTATCAATTTTATCCAAAGAATCAAAAATATCGTTTCAATAAAAAAATATATATATAAAAGGTTTCCCCAATATTAACAATATATCATTCGCTCAGCCATCATCCCCTCTCCTTACCCAATTCCATGATGTACCTAAAGAAGATTTTTGCACTATTGAAGATAGACCAGAATGTTCTCGCCAATTCTGCCAATGTATCAACATGTACCGAATCAAATTGGGTAGCGTCGTCGAATTTATCCTAATAGATGAAGGTTTATTTATCACTCCCTCCTCCTCTATTTCTTTAAATTATATCAAATTTATGATGTACCAGTTTGGAAATTGGACCAAAATAGATTCTATTTCTGAACATCTTAAAATGAGGTTCTGGTTAGGGCCCATATAAAAATTTAAAATTGAAGTTTCTAGGGATTTGTACTTCGAGAAGGTCCAGATTTTGGTTCCAAACTCGAGATTTTTTTTTCTACATTAAAAAAAATATATACAATTTTATATAAGAATTAGCTATTTAATTTTAAAGGCAATAATGGTAGATACGATATACACTCTTTTCATCTTCATGGCCACACATTTAGAGTATTGGCTCAGGAGAAGGTAGGAATTTCTACTACACTCGAGGAAGTAAATACTATTATACTTTTATTATTTTTTATATATTTAAATATACATATTAATTTTTGACCTTCAGTTTAAAAAATTTTTTTATGGAGCTCTTTTTCAGATATCTAAGGTCCAAATGAGTTTTCGTTTCTTTTCTTTGGAATTCATTAAATATTCAATATATAATAATTTTTAAAATGTAACGATTATATATCTATTATTTTGTGAAAAAAAAGGAACGCGCGATACTGGCTATTTAACTAAAATATAATACAAAAATAATATATTATAAGATAAATAATATATTTTTGTAATAATTTTTTATTTATTTTTAGCAAAAATTCATTTTAAAATTTTAATCAGATTAACAAGAGCGCTTAGTGCTCAACACAGATTTCGCTGTGCTAAATACATGTTCAACTAGCACAGAGGATGGAAGGGTTGTTTTATATTTTATAAATGAAAATTTTAATTGGGGGAATTTATAAAAGATCAAGAATAATCTGTATTTTGAAAAAAGCTTAGTTCATATTCAAAAAATTTTTATTCAGATCTTCATCCAACTTTTTTATCTTTATTAGAAAATAATCTGTAAATGTTTTATTTTTTAAAGGAATCAAGTCCACTTTTTCTTTTTCTAAATCTTTTCTCGAACAGGAAATAAATTTAAGCACTTCCTTCTTCATATCCAATTTTACCAGGGCCATTCTGATTTAAATACTGGGTGAACTGCTGATAATATATATTCTTCCTTATAGATGTGCTCGCATCTATTTAAAAAAATATATAATCAAAATATAAATGGTAAGCAATATTTCAACTAGTATATTTTTATCTTTGTCATTGATGATTGCATTATTAAGTGGCTATTTTTTAACTCTCATTAAAATCGTAAGAGCCTTAGGAACGTGTTCCATAACCTATAAAATCACATATATAGTCATATAATATACATCAATGATCAACTTGTCATTATCTGCAAACTCTTTAATTTAGATTTATCATAAGATTTGTCAAATTTGTAGCCATTATTCTTAATAAGACTATTTATTAATTTCATGGAGTTATGGAAAGAGTTCCTTCTTGTTATAACCAGTTTAATCAGATATCTTCTCATTTTTTTCCTTAAAAATGGATGTACTGTTTGGAGGATGCCCATATATTTATTCCATAAATGAGGTTAAGATATTTTAGTTGGGACACAATTTACACTTATAAAGTTTAAACTTTCTACCCTTAGTTTTCTTTATTGGTGTAAAAAATGTTTTATATTGGAGCAAAGGCAGGTTAACTCATCTTGATCTGAAGAAAATGCACAATTGACATAATATTCCTTTAAAAATAAATTATAATATTAGAGAATAAGAATATAAATTTACATATAATTGATTAATTCAATAATAACTAGATTAACATTCTTGACTGAAAATTTAACAACAAAAATTTTAAATAAAAATGAAGGAATTTAGTGGTTGATCTAAATTAAAAACTCGGTTTAAATTATTTATAAAATTTAAAAAATAAATAAAAATAATTTTCTAATTCAAATGTTTTTTTCATATTTTTTAGGGAAAAATTTAAAATAACGAGTAACGATTTGCGTTATCATTACTCAAAAGATAAACGCGTTTCCATTACACTTAACGATGGCGTTCCTTTTATTCAAAAAAAGGTAACGCCATTAGCAACGACGTTACTTTTTACATTACTTTACAGCACTAGTTAATAGCGATTTATTACTATGGGTCAGATTCGTTCCAGCTGTTTTATTAATGTTATCTATCAAAGTACATGATACTATATGATATATTTAATCACAAAAATAACTTTTTAAAATTTAATAGTATTTAACCGAACAAATAATCTTTCAGTCAATTAACCATATTTGATTGATCAATTGATCGACACTTGGCAACTCTGAATTTTTATATAAATGTGTGCGCTAATTGATTTCAAAATATTATCATTTTTTAAAAAAGTATATCAAAAATTTATCGATAATTTTGTGAATCTATATTCGTTTTAATAGTATCGGCAACAAGCCTGCATTAGCCACTCCTTGTTTTTATTTTAAGTATATACTTAGTAAAGTTTTTTTTAAACATGCGCACCTAGATAAAGCAATTAGATGTTTCGGGTTCTTTAAAACGCAATCTTTACAATCCAGTTTACAAAAACATTCTGGCAGTACCTCAAGGAGGTTATGGAATTATTCGATTTGTCGCTGACAATCCAGGTTAAAATATAAAAAAAATTACTTAAGTTAATATATTTTTAAGATATTACAAAAAAATAATAATAAGGGGCTTAGTAATTTTCATTTGTGTATTATAACAACTCTTTAATTAAATTATAAAATATGCTATTTTTATTCTATTCGATTTTTTAAAAGATTCTAACATATAATATTACCATAAAGGCTTTGGTTTAAATAAAATCACTTTAAAAAAAACAAACAAAATAAAAGGGTTTTGGTTATTACATTGCCATTTATCGTTTCATTTACTGGGAGGAATGAATGTCGTTTTGTGGGTTGGAGAATTGAATGATATTGTAGAGCCACCGCCCAACTTCCCTAGATGCGGGTCATATACAGATGATTTTAATTTATAAATAATTCATCCCAAAATTTTTGTAAAATTATATACTATATAAATATATATTATTAAGATTTTGATAAAATAATATCATTTTAATATATAATGTGATATTCATTGTTCAATATAGCAATGCAAGTAAACCGATCTCTTAATTTTTTTTTTTTAATTTAATTTTTGTTCAGTTAATTGGTTTGAAATTTATATATATATGTGCGTTATATTTTTATAATCGCCAATTGTTCTTTATAGGACCTTTGTTTTAAATTCGTCTGTGTAATAAATTGAATTATAAAAGTTTAAAAGTTTTATAAAAAAAGTCATATATAAACATAAAATATAACTAAATTGGATATATAAATTCAATTATAAAAATGAATACCAGAACAACTAAATGTATATCTGTTTAAATAAATTTATTTTTTTTAAATATGTCATGGTGAAGAAGATCCTCTATCCACAGAATATTTAAAAATATATTATTAATCTCATAACAAAGGAATAGAAAGTAGAAGTGAAATTGTTTATGAGAGAACAAGATAATGAGGTCCTGGTGGGGTACGATGATTCTAAGAAAACAAATCTTAGATTTATTACGATTTAAGTAAATATAAGGAGATAATAAAAAATCTATAATATTAGTTTAAAAACCACAAAGAGGCCATCTTATAAAGCATAAATTGAAATGAGACTATTTTAGAGAGATAATATACTATATTATTATTAAATAATAGATTATTTATATTAACTTTTAAGGTGTTAAATAATATTTTATTTTAATGTTACACAATAATATTTTTTGTCGATTAGTATTTAAATGTTTACTCTTTAAGGCAATATTTGTAAATTGTGATATGTAAAGTGGACATTTTGTTTTATATTCAATTATGTTAAAAAGAAATTTATTTTTTTTTTATTGGAAATATATAAAGCTTTTTTTTAAAAAATAAAAATACAAGCTCTTTTTTGTTATAAAGAAATTCAATACAAAAAATACAATTTAAAATTTTCCAAATAAAGACTTTATTTGTATCATCATAAATTCTAAACCATTCTCATATTCATATATGGACCAAATCTCAGTGCAAGACCACCCCACTTGCACCAATTATTAATATCGAGGTTAAAGAGGAGGAAATTCAGAGGATGTCCTGATTACCCTCGTTTTAGCTCGGTTATTTATATTATAATATGTTAAATAGAGATTTTAAGTTCAAATTATTTTATTGAAGATATAGTTTAATATAGGGTGTCCTCCTGGTTCGACTTAGTTTTGGCACCTAATACTAATCGATTTCAACTAAAATGAAATAAATAATTTTAGATTTTTTTTCTTGTGATATTGCATATTTTGTTATATTCACGTCGTTTAAGGGAGAATAGAAGATATAATTTTTTAATTATAGAAATATTTGCTTAATATCCATAAGAAATATGTATTAATTTTTTCATTAACTCTTATAGTATTAGAGCCATATTCCTATTTTCTTTATTATAACTATGCAAAATATCTAACTAAACAAATTGTCGATTTTTAATTTATTGCATTTATTTTAATTAATTTAAGTAAGGTATCACCACTTACCTAGGAGTTGTTAGATTGATGGAACATTATTACCATATAAATGTCAAATCACCAAATTTATAAGGTTCGAATTTTATATATTATTTGGAATTTTTGAGTATATTTTAAAGTATTAGTATTGTTAAAATCTTTAAAAATAGATTTTGTGTTGCTTATGCAGGTATTTGCAATATGAGGAATTGTACATCTTTAAATTATCGAGATGATCAATTTTATAAATTGATGTTGAATTCTAATTAGTTTAACAATATCATAATTTTAGAATATTTGTTGCTTTGACCTCAAATTTTTTATTTAATTTATATTGATAATATATAAAATTTATTTTATAAATGATCCACACCAGAATTAACTCAATCCGTTTCCTTTTATAATATTCTCTAAAACGAATCATCTAGTGATATAGATAAGTGCAAGATCATACTTAAAAGTTCCCATGGAGCTAATTTGGAAAGGCACCATTCTAAAGAACATTAATTCTTAGCTATTCAAATATATTTTGCCATCAATATGGAAATGTCATAATTTTTTATTGGACACTCATTAAATTCGATAATCAAGGTTGAAATTGATAAAAACACGCGTTAATAAATTTTTGCACAGAAGTTATGATTATTATATATTTTTTATATATTGCTCAAAGATACATATAATAAAAATTAATTAATTTTTCATCTATCTTATAAATAAACGATGGCAAAAATTTTAAGAAACAATATTTATGATTAAAGTCATATACGATAGTGTTGTTTTCAATAAATATATTTTAAAAATTTTTTATAACCACAATAAACCTTTATAAATTTTTCTTAAGAATTATAATAGAACCGTATCCTTTGTGAATTTTTTAAATAAAGTTTCGGTTCGGGTCTCTGAAATAAATATATACAGTTTTAAATAATATTCCATTAAAAATATTTAGTATATGTGCCATATTGGGTTATGGAATCTACTAGGATTCGTAATCTCTTGAGTTTAAATCATTTGCTGAAAGCGATATTGACGGAAAATGTATTTATGCATATATATAGGAGTACCCACACTTCAGAAACCTTTACCATAAAATTTATGACTATTCTTAATTTTTAATTATTTTTATATTCATTTTTTATATAAATTAAAAAATACATAAAAGGTTTGTGGCGAAAATTGTGGGTAATAATACATAGAGTGGGTATTATACAAATGTTGAATTACATTTAGGTTGAATAAGATTTAAAAAATTTTTTAAATAGCCTACCTAGGTAAATTATTTAAAAATATGAAAATTTCTAAATCAAAGAATTTGGTAAATATTATATAAATACTCCAGGAATAGTCATGTAATGTATCTTAAACCTACTTTGATTTCATCTTTGTTAAAAAATTTCATATTTTAATTAAATTAAGTTTATTGTTAAATATAAATATTCATCATAAGGTAATGGCATCAATTTTATTTTGGAACTCAATTTCAAGGTAAGAACAATTATAATTTCCAGTATTGCTTATACAGTTTCTTGGACCATAGCCGAAAAACTTAAAATTAAATTGTTGATCCAGATGTTGATTAACGATTCAAACTATAAATCTTATTAGTGACTCATATTGCCTAAATTTGATTAGATGTCTTTTCCTAGCGAGGAGGGTTTAATTTTATATTTTAAATTAATAATTTTCATTTCCATTTACAGATAATATTAACATTGTATTTGGTAAAATATATAAAGTCTTATATATTTTAACGTACAAATCTTGGTGTAAAAACTATATGGAACAAATTTACTAGGGGTAAATATTCACTTCTCGATGCATAGATAGTCAGTTAGTTCATTTTGAATAAATTTGCATTATATATTATAATCCTTGGGTGCAATCCAGTTAAAAAGTATGATCTGTGGGTGTAATCTCAAAGCTCAATAAAACTATTTGCGCATTTAAAGATCCTGTTGTCATCACAATCTAAGTGTTCAGACATCTGAATCTAAATTAAGGCACATGTATGACTCATTTAAACAATTAATAAATCAAAGAATACGTAAGAAAGCATCTTAATATCTATTTTATTGGTTTTTTAAGATTTGACACTAGTCAACAAAAATATTTAATTTTTTTTCTCAGAACAACCTTATGGCTTATGAAATAAAAAATCCTGAATACAAATCCAAAATACGGTAGGTAATATAGGTCATCACCTTATAGGTTTTTTTTGTATATAATGATAAATAAAATAACATATTTAAAAATACATTAAAACTACATCGTTCGAAAAATGAAATCATTAGTGCGAATATATTCTAGAAATCCTGGTACCAACTATATTAAAATCTTTATAAAATAATATATAACTTAGTTTAATATGGTTCTACGATTATAAAAGTTAAAAAATTTATAAAAGTTTACACTTCATTAATCTAAAATAAACAAGTATTTAAGAACTACTACAGCTATATTGTAAATTCAAAAAAAAAATAATCATATGATGATACTGTAATTCGTTTTTAAATGTTAACAATTTTTACATAAATTTTTAAAAAATCGAAATATTTATAGTATAAAAGGGTTAAAATTTATAAATCATTATTTTCCATATATCTTATTCCAACTTTAATTCCATTTTTAGGAAAGTTTATAAGATTATTACTAAATTTGGTGTTGTCGTGATTTAAATCAGAATTAATGTCTCCAGGTGCTAAAACGAATTGTATGTTCGACCCTAGAATTAATGTTAGGCCCACTTTCATTTCCAGCATTGCAAAACGTGAACCTATGCAATTTCTAGGACCCATACCGAAGGGCATATAGCAATATCGATCTTCCATAGTTCTATAAAAAATTATATAGTAAAATTTTATAGCAATAATTTATTTTCGAAATTTTCTTCTTCAAAATATTAGTCAATGGAAAAATAATTTATAAAGAGAATGCCTCCAGAGTTTCTACATCAATGTTGCTAATGCCCCTTGGTAATTAAATACAAAAGTTATAAAAATGGCCACATTTATTAAATTCGATTTGAAATCCCATGTAGGTACACGTTGATTCTTTTACCACTAAAACAAGGGAATTAACTGTATATAAATGTGCACATTTTATTAGGAAAAAATGATAACCCTAAAAATTGTATAAAAAAAATTTTGATTAATATTTAATAATTTATTTTGATAATGTTGAGAAAATTTTAATTAAAATCAGAAATATTCATCACATAAATAGAAAAGTATATGGAATGAGTAACCCATGAACCAAAAGTAATTAGCCTGTGAATAGCATTGGCTATTCTATACCTCATAAAGAAACTATCGCTTCATTCATCCATAAGTTTACGAATAAAGCGCTATTCTCATAGGTATTTAAGATAGTAGTAATTATCGGAATAAATATTTAGTGAATATGCAATCTCGAAAAATTTCTAAATATTTCGCAATTTTTAATTTTTTTTTAAAGGATGTTCGGGTTTGATTGGAGTTAGCCATTAGATCAATGCATGAATAATATAAAACCAGGAATTGGACATTTCCAAGTAATTTAGAATTCTTATCAGGTCGTTTCCCATCAGATCTAAAAATATTTGGAGGAGGTTCTAGAATGAACCTAAACTGATCTCAAGGCTCTTAGGATGATCAAGATACCTAAATTTTATCTAACATCGAGACCTATAAATGAATTTGGGTGATTAAACAGTTTAGACAAATACTAATGGCGTGAGTGAGCTCATTTTGAAAGAGTTATAATTGTAAATGCCGAGGGAATAGGTTCAAGAAACTCATGACCAAACCCATTAAGCAGGAAAGAGATAATGGAGGGTCAAACTTGCAATTATAGGCCTATCCCAATCTTTCTGCCTATTTGTTTCTGGTAGAGTATTATCAGCAATAATACAGGACTTCTAATCGATAATAGCACTATAAAAAGAAAGATCAGGTTTTAAAAAATTAGAATATATTACTCGCCGACAAATACTGAATATAAAAGCACTTACGACAAGATCGGAAGGAGATCTGATGCCTAATCCACCATACTTGGTATGTAAAGAAACTTGTGTCCAAACTAGCTTATTGAACTTAAGGTTTGCAAAATTTTCTCTCAGAACTTTGAACCCATTATAAACACCAAAGGGTATGGGATATTTTTAAATAAGAGTCGACAATAAGACATATTGGATACGAGGAATATTAAATAAAATTTCAAGAGGATAAAAGTTTTGTGGGTGAAGAGTAAGGATAATAAATCCGCCAACTCAAAAAATGTCTAAAAACTGATATATATATATATATAGGAAGATTTTTGTCTTACAAGAAATCTTAAATGATTTGGTTCTCATGGGTTGTAATTTTTAAATTGGTGTGAATTATGTTCAATTGACTTAAGAGAGATGAGTTAAAAAAAGAGTCCAATAGCAATCATAGCTTCCATAATTAATTTTCACACCATTATTTATAAGGAATTTAATTCAACGATGAACCGATTTATTAGGCGTGCAAGGAGAAGAAACATGTGATGTTAATACGATGTTCTTTGATATTCAGAGGGAAAACAAACCCTGTTGAATGTCCTCCATAAGTGGAATTATATAAATATCGAATTGCAGAGTAGAAGACAGATGGTAACAAAATAATGCTTTCATCTTTTAATTTTGAATATATAATTTTAGCAACTAGGCGTTGAAAGGTATAACCTATTGCAAAATTTGGCTTCTGAGGTGTAATTAGCCTAACACCCCCCAAAAATTGAAGAAATGAAGCTAGTTACTTCACCTTTAAAAATTTTATTGCAAAGATTAGTATTTTAGTAAGAATAGGATTTTATGCATATTGAGGGAGAGGTGATGTTATATGGGAATATATGACGGATACCATCGTGACCGTAGGTTGAATTTCGGTGAAAGGAAATAATATCCCCTCATTACTTCAGATGTGAATTGAGAGATAATATGGAATGAGGTTGAGCAAATTTTGATATAATGGTTGTGATATGGTTTTTGACGAAGCTTGATACACGTATCGTGGGAAGGCTCAGCTAGGAGTCATAAGTAGATCAATCTGATAGCACCATTTATGTTAAGATTGTCTATTTTCTTGGAAACCAAATTGGCCTTCAACTCAATCGATGAAGGCTTGCTTTTGTTCTTGAAGAGCGCGGGCCTCCTATTTTCTTAAAGGTAAAGAGCAATAATAAAACGACATCCTTAATTTGTTGAGTTGGGGATATATAAAGTTTTGTAGAGTACCCGAAAGGTATTATATGTATAGAAAAAGAATTTAAACTATCTGCAAACATTGCGGAAATTTAGTAATAGGGACGATATACAATATCAGCAATAGATTTACTAACTAGCAATCCAGCCTCTTTAGGGATCCTTTAAATGATATGTGGTTTGGAAGAGTCGAGATAAAAGTCTGAGAAGCAGGAATTTGAAATACGAAGAGAGGCATAATCGATTGAATGATAAGGGACAAGGGACCCCAGCTGAAATGTAGGAATCTTGTTGAAGGTGGTCAATCATGTTGAAAACAATCATCATATCCAACATGTGCTAATTTTAGTCATGAAGAACAGATTTATGTGAATAACATATACAAATGGATAAGTAAAGATAACGAGGGATATATAATTGAGTTATAGAATAAATTAATGGTCCAAAATGGACTTAAGTCAGCATAATAAGACTTGTGGAATAAGTGAATATAAATAAAATCACACATATTCAATAAGGAGAGAAATGATTAAAAAAAATATTATATCACGTTATTTAGAGCAAAATGAAAAGCGAATACGAATGCGAAATATAATATCACGATATTTAAATCTGAAGGAAAAGCTGCTAAATATTTCATATTTAAATAAATAGAAATCCGATGGACATTTATTTTAAAATGTTTGATTTCTAGCAGGTGGTTTAATATCAATGAGTTATTTTACTTTCTCAAAGTTGTAGTGGGATATGGAGTATATAGACTCTATACTTGCACAAATAAAAAGATGTTAAAGTTGTAAATTGAAATTATTAATATATATTTGATATTCACTGATTAATCAGTTGCTGAAATTATTTATATCTTAAAAAAACGTAAATTAATTATTTGATTTTGTTTTTATTTTAAAATTATTATCATAAACTTTTAAAAACAGATGATCTTATTTGTATTTACATTCCGATTTTATTTTAAGGTATTTCAAAACTCAAAAAGATAAATAAAAAGTATGCATTTTAGTATTATAGGCTTAAAAATGAAAACCTATTATTATTATATTTTTGAGTTTGAAAATATCCTTGTATATTTTTTTTACTTTTGTAGTTGCATTAATAATATTTTTTTCATAGATTGAATAAAGTTATAATTAAAATTGTTATAAAAACATTATTATAGCGGTTGTTTGAAGAAATGAATAACTTAAACTAAACTCAAGTTTATTAGCTTAAAATAATACTTAACCAATTTTAAATAAAGTTTATAAATATATGATTAAAGTCAAGGAAGCCAACCGGGTTCTATAAACTAACAAAGTCAAAAGAAAAAAACAAATATAAGCAACGATCAGGTTGCTATCTTTCCAAACCTGCAAATCTAACAGGTCTGCATTGTTATAATCTTTGCCATGGACACCCTAGAGAGTTCTATGGTCTGCAGAAAAATGAAATAGTAGCTATAAAAAACAAAAGCCTATTATTACTCATATTATATTTTTCTTTTAAAGTAAAAATAACAACATCATATTATATTAATTAATATAAGTCATAACTCACGTGTCCTTTAGATCAAATCTGTCCGGATCAAATTTGTCGGGAAATGCCCATATATTTCCATCTCGGTGCAATGCATAAACAGGTACTTCAATAACAGTACCCTTTTTAATTAATTTGTCCTCCAAATAATAATCTTCAGATGCCACCCTATCAAAAAATATTGCTGGAGGATGTAACCTAAGAACCTCTTTAATAACCTGATCCATATACTTTAGGCTCATAATATCATCATAATTTAAGAGATCAGGGCTAAAGCTTCTATCTATTTTCAGGCATTTAATATGTTTGATTTTAAAAATTACATATGTTAGTTACAAAGAAATCAATTATATTTATTCCTAATCACTTAGTGTATCAACTACATATATAGTTGTTAGATAAACAAATGTAAAGTTCCGAATAAACCAGAGAGACACTTAACTTTCTTATCACTAAACAAATTTCAAAAGAATTATAAAGATAAATTTCTTTCAAAAATATAATTATTAATGTTAATAAAATTTAAATCTGTTTTGCCAAGGCAATAAAATAAATATAAATTGTATATTTACCCATAAATTAAATTACATTTTTGATTAATCTTTCGCTTTATTTCCTGTCTTAAAGTCTCTTGAATCTCAGGATGACCGGCTAAAGTGCGAGCTATCCAACATAGAGCATTTGAGGGTGACTCATATCCAGCTACGAAAAACATTAATGCCATAGAAATGTACTCCTCTTTAGTGGTTAATAAATTCTGTTCAAGCTTTTTAGTTTCAATGCTGTCCTCTTCTTTCATGGTCAGCATATCATCCGAAACTTTATGGATGTTCTTTTTACATCCATTATTATTACTATTTGTGTTAGATTGATTTAAATTATCATGAGTGTCCATGAACAATTGCAAATAATCATTTCTAAATGATATATTGAAGTCAATAAATTATCAGAATATATATCTATAACTTATCAAAATCTTTAGTCTACTTGGATCTTGTTAGAACAAAATAATTTGTAGTCAAGATACATTTTTTTACTTATAAAAATTTAAAAATATCCTAGGACTTCATTTTAAATGGATTAGATTTTATAAGACATAAAAATTTTATTAATTAATTATTACAGAGTTTCCTACCTTTTAATATTAAACTTTTTACGCTCCTCTATGGTACTTTCAACGATATCAGCAAAGAACTGCATTGAAGCTTCTTTAATGAACGATATTTCGAAGTAATTCAATACAGGGATTATGAATGGAAAAATGGCTATCAGGGCAAGTATTGGTGTCGTTATATCAAAATCGAAAGCCTTTCTTACATTTCTGTTATTTAAAAAAAAAATTATGTCCATTTTTTTAAAGAATTTTAAATTATTCATATATTATCAATAGAAGATGCTATACAAAGGTTTCATTATATTTTGTCCGATTCAATGCGGTTAATTTCCCTTAGATCTTATGATGAAATATGCCCAACACTTGATAGTTTTTTTAAGGCCATAGAAAAACAGATACTTCACAATTATTTTAGAATAATTTTTATATGTAAATTTTATCAAAAAACTAAAATTATATTGTGACTCGATTTTTTAAAAATAATATTTTAAATATAGTTTTAACTATAGAATTAAATATTATCCTTAGTAATTTTATTTTATTTAAAGATTTATGTTGCGATAAACTTTATTCCTACAGATCCTCTTCCCACTAATTTATATTCGTGTTTTTAACTAGGTTTTGTTATACAGTTTTTAATTTGTTAGTTTCTTTTCCTTACCTTTTTTTGTTACGGATTTATTTCTGTATTCGACATTTTAATATGAACAATATTTGAAAAATGTAAATTTCATTGATTATTATATTGTATAATTCAATAATTAATATAGGAGAAATCGTGTCTAGTCGGTAAAACTGTGAAAATTACTAAATATTAAAATAATGATCATAATTTAAATACCATTATACACATAAACCTTTACTTTACCTGTAAAATTATATCCAGAAAAATGTAACTCAAGCCTAAAAATCTTGGTCATAAATGGCACAAAAATTTGAACATCTATTAGCAAAATCTAGAGGTTTATGTAATATTTTTCTGGCTAAAATATTGAATTAACCGTTTTTAAAAATTAGCTCAAATCGTACCGTTTAACAACACCACCCTGAACTCTAATGTGAGTTCAATCCATTTTTTAAAGTCTCTTACACGATTAATTAATTTCATTTATTTATTTTGATACAACGTTTTATTTTTATAGTAAATACCTATAAGAATCCTTCGATTTATTTAACATTAAGATGATAGGAAAGTTGATACCAAAAATAGAAATTAACATTAAGGTAATACGAAAACGTTCATAGATTATTTAACTGACTCTAATAGATTTGATTCAATTAGCCCTTAGGGTACTGATAAATTAAAAATCTTTTCTACTCCACAGAATAATAAATATTATGGATTCCATTTCAATGCAATTTAAAAATCGAGGTTTTATTATTTATAGAAAAATGAGAAGAAAATTCCCCAACTAGATTTGCCAAAACATAATTTATTCAAATAGATTCGAAATACCTGACGAAAGCATGATTATTTTCTTTGCGGGAGTCTATATCCAATCCAAATGAGGTAGAAGCGATTACATCCATAGCGTAACAACCAAAAATGTCTTTGGTTTGGACTATTGTAGTTTCTTTACCATCACAATTCTTATTGCTATGGATAGAGTTTAGATCGCCATTTATTGAGTTTTTTAAGTGATAGACCATCTTAGAGGCACATTTAGAAAGTAACGGAAACATATTGAATTTCATTTTATGACAGGTAAAAGTAGGTAATATGAATTTCCGTGACATGCTCCATTCTTCGTCTTTAATCACGAACAATGATTTACGAAAAAATTTATTAGGCATTTCAAAAAATCTTCGGTTAGAAAAATTTGAAAAACTTTTTACCAATATATCCTTGAGGTAATTAGGATTGCTCACCACCAGAACAAAAGTTTGGCCTTGAGCCAAGGCGTAAAATTGTCCATACTTACGATTCCAGTCTATCTGACATTTTTGAATGCCATTAATATATGCCCATATGATGGTACCCAAGAATGGTAAAGGAAAAGGGTGTTTGTGGCCGCAACGGAATAGTTTTATAACTGGAATTAAACCGTAAATAATTAATGATGCCAAAATGAGAGTGAAAATAAGTGATAGATAATTAATATCTAAAGAATCAAGGATGTTAAACATAAGGAAATTGCTAAATTTCGATATATAAAAATGTTTATTCTTTATAATATTATATATATCAAATATATAATATAAAGGCTCTTATTTTACATATATATTAAATATTTTTGTTAATTAATTTGCAATATTTAAATTAATTATATTTTCAAATAGTCGGCCTTAAAATTTTTTAAATAAATCAACTATATAATTTAAACCTTCAAGGGCATACAATAATAATTAAAAATCATAACTTAATCATAATACTTATAAATGATTTGAAAAATTTTATTATAGAGCATATAACATAATAACTTCTAACTATCTTTGAGATGATATATCATTCTTATCTATTCATAAAAGATCACGCCATCATTTTTAATATAAAATTCAAAAAAATATATATCAAATAAAACCTGAAAAATTCATTAGTGCTAACCATGATTCAAAAATAAATTATAAAACAATGACTAAGATAAGCACTTATTAACGGAAATTCCCTATTTTGTAAACATTTAATTAAGAAAAACTTATTTTTTTTATATTTCATTATTTAAATTATTTTTTTAGATTTCTATTGTTAATTTTAAAAATGTTACAATATAGTAAATATTTAGAATGTATAATATCATTATAGGAGCATAACCAAGGAGTTAGTGGAAAATTCCCCCTTCCCCTCGTCGTAAAGTTTTATGTTCTCTTATAGAGATCTACAAAAGGGAATTTTTTTTTAAAAAAATAGAAAAATCTGGGCAGGACCCGTGAATTTAAGAAAATTTATATTATGAGCCGAACCGGGCAATATACGAATAAAAAATTTTCGGGACCAGGTCGGACTATTAGCCAGTACCTCGCAAATCTCAAATTTTTTGTAAAATCTTAATGGTCATTAAAGTTTGATATTTTTTTGAATTTTAAGCTAATTATTTGATTCTAATTAATACTAATTGCAAATAATATATTCTTAATTCTATATTTTAAAAGCAATCTAACCATAATATTAAATAAACTAATAATTTAGAAAATCCATAATAAATTAATTAATTTATGATATGATATGATAATTACAGACACAAATTATTTAAAAAACGGTTGATATAAATAGATAGACATAGAGGAGTTATATAAAAGTCTTCATTTTTTCTAGGTTTATCTTAATATAAGTTCAAATTAAAATATTTCTAAAATAATAAAAACTATATAATTAAAAATGCAATTTTATAATTAAATTCACCAAAGATATCATAATTATATCTAAAAATTTCTATTTTAATTTTTTGGTGCATATATAAAAATGGCCATTTGGGAAGTCATTATTGGAGTGAATATAAAGTTATAAAAATTTTTGAATTTGTTAATCTTTTTAGTTTCTGCCTGTATCAATGGATTGAAATTTATGTTTGAGGGGAACAAAGAGACGCATGTGTAGTCCCATATTAGTGATGACATTGGGATAGAATTAGATACAGATATCATAAATGTACCATCATAAAAGTGTAAATGAGAATAATATTTGGACATGATAAGTCGAAAATTATAATATTAAAAATTTAGGGAACTCCTACGATACAGGAAGTTTGATAAGAATTAAGAGAGGTTATGGAATTAGTTTTGATTTTATTTAATTTTCAATACAATCTCGTCTTAGAACCTTGATCCCCACCTATTTACCAGGTCGGCCGTGTGGGCTTTATATATCTCTAGTTCTCGTATATGAGATATAAATTTTATTTATTCGAAACTAGTCTTGCAAATAAATTGGGATATTCTCCTAATTTTTTATTCCTTCTAGTTTTATCAAACAGGCAATTAGAAGATAATAGTAGCTATGTTTTAGTTGAATCAAAAAATCTAATTTATTTTTTAACTAAAAATACAAAAAAATTCGTTGTTTATATAATAAAATATTTAATTTAATACCGAAAGGTGAAAAAAATATAATCTTTCAAAGAAAATTGTAACTTGTATAATTGTTTTTGAATGTCATGAACAATTAAAATTTGTATAGTTGAATGTCATTAACAAAACAAAAAAAACTAATAGTTTGTTTAAAGAAGAAGAAAAAACAATTTAAACGACTTCTTAACATGTCACTCTTTCTTCTTTTTTTAGTTTTTGCGCTCCTCATCTTATCGTTTGTCTTGCTTACCGATTTCTTCATCATTTGTTGCTCGTTTGTCCGTTAATCTTGATTGTTATAGTTTGCCATCGCTAATATATTTCATCAACACAAAAAAAATTCTTGTTTATGTAGTATATAAGCTATTTAAAGTTTATTTTAAATTTAAAAATTCTTTATAATTTTTTTAAATATTTTTTTATATTCATTATGAAATTTTCAAATTTTTTAGGCTATATAATATTTTGATTGGTCTTTAACTGCTATGACTCTGATCTTGAACTTGTATATACTTTGATTTCCTTGTTCATGACTTTGATCATGAACTTATATATTTTGATTTTATCCTTGTTTATGATTTTGATCATGAACTTGTATACTTTGATTTCACACTTGTTCAATAACTTCTTCCCCTTCTAAAATTTAGAGTATAAGGTATGGAATTAATCGTATTTCAAATCTGTCGTACCATTATTAAGAGGTAAAATATTTGTTGATACTTTTTTATCTGGTCTAAATGTCTTCTTATAATGTTGTTTCCATAATCTATTTTGAATGATAAATTCCCATCTTTATGTGTTACTAGAAAGTTTTATACCAAACTTTGTCACCTATCACGATATTTTTATTTGACCATATATTCAGATTTAATTCATTCATTTTATCTTCTAGTGGTTTAATTAAATCCATCTGATTCTTATTGTTCTCGAAAACATTACTTTGTTCGGTATCTATTGATTTTTGCCTTTGGAGTGTTTCGATTATTAAATATGAACTTTTCTAAAGCTATATCTATTTTATTGTTACTTTCCATATTCCTTTTCATAATTATTTACATTGATCTTATCATTTGTTTAGACTGTTGATAGTGAGGTGCGGTGAGTATGTGTTTAATTCCATGATCTTCACAAAATTTCTTGAATAAGTGGCTAGTAAAGTTAGTTCCATTATCACTCACTATTTTTTCTGGTATGTCAAATATGCTAATAAATTATTAACTCTTTAACAATTGATTCTGTAGTTATGTTCTTCATTCTTTTAATAATCGGGAACTTGATATATGCGTCCACAAATACCATCCAAATATTTTCTTCAAATTGCACAAAATCTATATGTATACGTTCAAAAATCTTTTTTGCTGTTCCTCATGGATTTTGTTTATGATGTGAATTATCTGGCCATTTATTGCATTAATCACTTTTTTACCTCTTAATCTATTTATTTGTTAATACCAGGCCATACATAATCTCTCGCCCATAGTTTGGTTTTTCCAGCGCCTAGATATCTTTTGTGTAACTCATGTAACATCTCATTCCTCATACTTCGTGGTAATATGATTCTATTCTCTTTAAAAACACAATCTTTTATTAAGCTCAATTCTATTTCCATATTTTTATAAATTTTGTTCTTTATAGGTTCACTTTCCTAATATTGTCAATGTTCTCCATCAATTCTTTATTCACACTTGCTTCCTTCACCCTTTTATATTATCGTCCCATAAATCATCAATCTTTTCTCTATCTATAAACAATCTGGAACTATAATACGTTTTCCAGGTCTATGAACTATTGTAAAATCGTTTGCTCCCATCTCTAAATTCTATTTTTGTAAACTCATTGATATAAAAGTGTTATCTTTAAGTCCATTTGTAATATAGAGTGATCTTATGGTCTATGATTATTGTAAATTTTGTTCAAATTAGATATTCTTGAAATTTCTTTATTGCATATACTACAGACAAGACTTCTCTTTCTATCTTCGTGTAGTTTTTGATAAAGCAATAGGTTTTTCTTTTCCATTCCCTTCAATGTGAAATAAAAAGGCACCTAAGCCTTTTTTGAAGCGTCTGAAGTAATATCTATAGGTAAATCTGGGTCGTAAAAAATTTAAAGTTGTGCAAGTAATTATTAACTTTTTCATCATCAAAGCTTTTCTGATGTGTATTTTCCCATAACCATTTATCTTTGTTGACTATCTTATATAAAGGATCAGCTATGTCTGCAAAGTTACATAAAATTTTTTGATCTAGCCATGCCCAAAAAAGTTGCTAATTCCTCTTTTGTTTTAGGTTCAGGTATGTTTGTAATAGCTTTTATTTTGTCTCCATTTGTATGTATGCCTTTATCGCCGATGTCGTATCCAAAAAATGAATTTCTTTTTTAAAAAAATATACTCTTGGGAAATTTGTTACTAGCCCATTTTGTCAAAAACTTTTATATGGTTCAAATGTGCCTCATCATCACCAGTTATAAGCGAATCATCTGTGTAAAAAATGATATGTTGACAATTTTTATATTAAATTTAAAATCGAAATATTTAGATTACAAAAATAAAAATATACAAATCATTTTTATTCTTTGTATCTTATTCCCATTTTAATAACATTTTCAGGAAGGTTTATAATAGTTTTTTATAAAATATTATTATATTTTTAAAATTCAATTTTTTATTAAATTTCATATACAGGGAATCGACCATTGTATTGGTAAGCAACGCTCTTGCCTACTAGGCCATAGCGGTTTTCCAAAAATCACGATTTTCCAAATATATATTCTAAATATATTTGGTAGTGCTCAGTGACCCCTACAACGGGGGGGGGGGTCCGAAGCAACTGCTTCTATAAATTTCTATGGGGGTACTTTTTTTTTAAAATTTTTTATTTTAAAATTTTTTAAAAAAAATTTTTTTATTTTTTTTTTTAAAAAATATTTATGGTCGATGTTTAGCAAATTAGTTTGTTATAAGATATTTTTTATCATAAAATTATTTTTCCACTTTCAAGATTTGACGCAAAATTAAAATTTTATCAAAGTGAATAGTAAAAATTTAAATATTAAATCTTATATGTAATCATTTATAATTTTGAGATCATTGTCAAAATATGCCCAAAAATATTAACCAAAAAAAATATAAATGCTTATCTCGCAATCAAGCCTTCTGGGGGAACAGGCAACAAG